CCTTAACAGCAAACGGAGAAAAAGGGGGAAGGCATTCCTTTTGTCTGACCTCCGCCGTTTCAGAGAGAATTCTGTTAAATATGCTTGACCTTCTAAGAGTAAAACTATTTCAAGTAAGCGCCACCAGGAGGGTTAATTTTCTGCATTAAAAATATTTCCTTTAAAGGAAAAAATAACTGGTTGTAGGAAAATTGTTGCAAGAACAAGCAGGGCTGCCAACTACAACGCTTTTTGCAAAATATTACATAAAGTAGTAGACAATTAGAAGCAAGTGCTTTCAGAATTTCAGATAATTTTCCCATATTTCAAAAGCCTTATCATGAGAGAAGTGGAACAAAATGGCATTTTATGTGAACTTTTGAATCAAATTTACAAAGCAAAGAATCATAACATATTCTTAGCTATCACTAGCAGAAATTTTCCCCAAAAATGTAGAAAGTTGGCAGCCCTGTAACAATTTTATATTGGGAAATAACATGTCAAGTAACATTTTATTTTATAAATGTTGTTGAACAGTCGACCAGAATTTGGGTTTACGACTACTAATGTTCAACTCGGTAGCCTTGTAATTTTGCACTCAATCCAGAAGACAAGGCAACTCCTTGATCAAGTATTGGGAGACATTTGCCTTAGAGGACTTTTTGATGGAACCAACTCGCATTGCATTACATGGACAGGAAAAACACGAGAACCTCCCACAGTTAGCCTGACGGCAAGGGGATTTTAACCCAGGATCTGTCTACCACTGAGGATATTTCACGGCAGCACTGTGGTCAATGCAAGCTGGATTGACCAGTTATCGCTGTAATTCGAACCCGGTTCAGCTCGTTGGAGGGCGAACACTCTATCCCAGAGCCATCGTAGCTCATGTCAAGTAATATTGTAGAGATTCAGAAAATCAATCTTAGAAGTCATAAAAAATTAGGAAGTTTTTAAGAAAACATTTAAAAAAGTAAAAAATAAAAAAAACAAGTGATATTTTAGAGATTGAGAAAACCAGTTTTAAACTATATCAAAATATTAAAAGCTGATAAAGCATCTTTTTGCAATAAAAACCTACAGAATAAAGTAATATTCTATACTAGCACTCTACAAAACTCTTCAACTATTTCAGTAACAATAAATAAAAACATTGTATAAAATACTTTTAATTTACATTTAAAATCATACATCAATAATGAAGCATCAATAACATTAAGCCTATACAGTTCCATGATATTTATGTTGGCTATGATTTTTAACAATATTAGAAAACATGTCACGGCAGCTGTGATTTAAATTGACAGATAACATCTTCAGCGAGTCTTCTGTACATAAATCAAGTACTCTATTAATACCAGATATTAAATGAACCTGAAACAAAATTAAAAAAAAATATATATATGTCTGCATAAATTATCTTGATTCATATTCTGATATTTCTATTAACATTTTTTTAACCATTGTTTGAAATTGTTATGGATAAAAACAAATAGTAATTTAATAACGAATGTGCAAAAATAAAAATTGTTTTACCTTTATGCTAGAATCTAGAGTAATATCTTGAATACTGTCTAAATAATCAGCAACAAGGTAAGGTACTAGTTTGGATAATTCTATTTTATGTCTGGTGAGAACTGTCAAAAGTCTGTAAAGAATAATGAGCTGATTATAACAAGATAGGAATATTTGACAGACGATAATAATACATAAATCTGATAGTGAAAAAATTTAATCTTAAAATTCCTCTCTTTTTGACACCTTCGTTTAAATTTATTATTCTTTCTTTAATTTTTTTAAACAAAATTATGATAATAAAATATCAATCATTCAAGAGCACAATATGTTCTGAAAATATAGAAAATAAAGGATTTTCTTTATATTGCATACAAATTGGTCTATGTAAATTTTAGAACTTGTATATATTTTTGTTGGATAGTAAAGACTTTGGATACATAATTTATTTTAACAAAATTAACAATCTTCTTTAAAAATACATAATATTTTTTTTTAAAAATACAATTTTATTTCTTATAACGTAAAAACAGGACTATAAAAACCTTTCAAAGATCAGGAAAATCATTACAATGATTTAAATCAGTTAAAATGTAATCATAATTTTTTTTAATTACTATATCTGAATATAATCATTTAGACTAAAGATACCCAAATTTAATATTGCAGATCTAATTTAGTAAATTAAGTATAGTTTAATGGAAACATTTGTCTCAACGCATTTACTTTTTAATTAGTGCTTAAAATATTACAATCAACTCAACTATACTATACCACTCCCACAAGTCAGTGAGAACAGGGAAATACTGAAACTGTCAGGGGAATTTTATTTTAACTTTAAAAAGAAGGGAAAGTTGTAATTTTTAACAAAAAACTTGGGAAATTCTTATATCATACCTGGAAATAATTCTAATATTTAATTACAATTATTTTATAAAATTCACTTTTCCATGTTTCCATTCTCATTATATTATGTTTTTGCTCATAAAATCTATTTAACATTACTAATAAAAAAATTCAAAGTTTTCTAATTTTATGGTATGGATTTTCATTGAAATATACCTGATCATGAAATACATTTCATTGAAACACCTGGAAAAGTCTAGGAATTTTTTTTCTGAAGTTTAGTGGGCACCATGTCTATTTATCGATCTATTCCAAATAATTTAAAAATATTTTATTATTGAAAATAGATTGGAAAATTCAAAGCATATCAAAAATTATACCTATCCATATTTTGAGCACACAGCTGCAGTTGATGTTGGCTATTTTTATCACAGTTGGAGATGGTGTCTTGAGATCCTGATTTCACAATGGATTTTAAGAGCAGTATAAAATTAAGGCAAAATTACACTTTTCCCATATTATATAAATAGAAAAGAAGATAATGTTAAATATCAAAATTTTTAAACATCAGCACAGTTCAACAGGGCAAGTAAAAAAACAAATTTTTGATTGTTTTAAATTTGTTAGACAATTTATGAAATATCTAGTGATACTTCATAACTAAATATAGCAGAAATAGGGGAATCGGCAATTTCCAACCTATGGAACACAAGCCTCGAGCATGTCGTGGTCAACGTCTTGACAACAGGGCAAGTAAAAAAACAACTAATTTTTGTTTGTTTTAAGTTAGTTAGGCAAATTATGAAATAAATAGTGATACTTCATAACTAAATATAGCAGAAATAGGAGAATCAGCAATTTCGAACCCATGGAACACGAGCCTCGAGCATGATGTGGGCAACATCTTGGCTGTAGATGAATTTAGTATCATTCTGAACTATGTGAACGAGTAAAATATGAGCAGTGATATTTTTATATTATACAGGGTTCATACAGAGATCTGAAGAAGAAATCCAAAGAGTCCAAAATTTTAAGGACTTATCAAAAGTTTAAAAACTTTGTGTAAAAGATAACTAGACAGTTTTTTTTAAATTACAAAGCAGTTATTATGAGGAACTTGCAAAAATTTATATTTTGCATATTTTTTTTCTAGCCCTTTTGAAATATATTTTGACTTTGTCAAACTTCATCAAGAAAAATAAAATTTTTACACATAAATACACTTTCCAGTTTCAAATATTTTAATAAATCTTGTTAAAGAATAACATAAAACCTACCAATATTATAATTTTAATACACAAGAAAATCTAAGACATTTTATTCAAAAAAAATCACAGTAAATTATTAATTGAGTTTGCTTGTAACATGTAAAATTAAAATTATTTTTTTTCGTTTCAAGTTTTTCTTAAACTATTAGATTTTGGCAGCTAAGTCATAGAATTCAGTTTGCCTGCTTGGACAGCGAATTTATCAGCGAACTTAGTAAGTTAACTATGCAACACAATAATCTAAAGAGTTTCTAAGGACTAACTTGGAAATCTAAGTAGTTCCAAGTACTCCTTGGAGACTTTTTTATTTCCAAGGAGTCTGTACGAACCCTGATTATATGAGGATAGAAATGCTCTAATGAATCAATATTTCCCCTAAAACAATTTAATCGAGACAATTTTTCATTGAAAGTAAATTTAACTTTATATTGTTGATATTATACAGGGTATCTGCTAAATCTAGAGTTTTTAAATTCATAACTTTCCATGACTTACCCAAGTTACTACTCAATATAGTCATGACTATGTGAACGAGTAAAATATGAGCAGTGATATTTTTCAGGGTTGCCACTCAAATCTGGAAAAAAATTCCCTGTGTTTTCCCTGTACATGTTATACGCAATATATTAAGAGGAAACAACAATTACTGTGCTCTTGTGTCAGCTATAATGAGCTAACTATATTTATTAGTTTCAATTGCTGGAAAAACAGCTGAACATACTTAAATAATGCTATAATAAAGTAAATAGTTCAGAATAGCTGAAATATCATGGTTAAATATCCCACATATTACGCTTTGAGTGGTCACCATTTTTTAAAAGACAAAAATAAAAAAACAAAATTCCCTGTATTTTCCCAGTTTGTAAAGAAAAAATCAATTTTCCCTGTATTTTCCAGGTCTTCCCTGTTCTCCCTGTGGAGTGGCAACCCTGTTTTTATATTATATGACGATAGAAATGTTCTAATGAATCAATTTTTCCCCTAAAACAATTTAATTGAAACAGTTTTTCATTGAAAGTAAATTTAACTTTATATTGTTAATATCATACAGGATATCTGCTAAATCTAGAGTTTTTAAATCCATAACTTTGCATGACTTACGCAAGTTACTACTCAATATAGTCAAAAGAAGATCGTAACGAGGCAACTTTTTTCCTTAAAGATAATCTTGTTTTATCTGAGCAATGCGTTGCACATTTTTTTAATAAACCAATTTAAACAAAAAGCAATAAAAAAGAACTGAACTATTAAATAAACAGTAAATAAAAAACCCAGCAGTTGAAAGTAACAAACATGCAAACTAGAATAATTTAAAAATATTTAATAATGTTCGTTAAGCACATTTACAAAGATGGAATTTTTTAATCTGATAAAATTGAAATATGAATCACAATGTGTGATGTATTTAAATCACACAAATGCAGATCGTGATGAGAGATTTTTCAATCGCACGAATGAGGATCACGATGTGTGATTTTTAAATCGCACAAATATGGATCACAATGCGTAATTTTTAAATCACGTGAATGTAAATTTTGATCTGTGATTATAAATTCGCACATTTATTCGAATATTTTTAAAATATTTAATAATGCCTCTTAAGAACATTTACAAAGATAAAATTTTTTAATCTGATAAAATTCAAATACGAATCACGATGTTTGATTTTTAAACCACACAAATGCAGATTGTAATGAAGGATTTTTGAAACGTGCGAATGCAGACCACGATGTGCTATTTTTAAATCATGTCGATACAAATCGTAATATGGGATTTTCAAATTGCCAGACAGGATTAAGGGCTCCAATGCCCCAAATCCATGATTAACTGGGAGTTTCCATGATATTTTTTAGTATTTATCACTCAAAATCATGACTTTCCATGACAATTTTCGATCAAGGTCGAAATCATTGGATTTTCAATGACTTTCCAGGTGTGCGGATACCCTGATTATAGAAACTGATACTTATTTAACCCTCACACAATAAAGTGGGGTCTATTATGAATCCCACTTTAACTAAGACAAAAACATTGTATGGTAGATCTCTATAACACAATTCTATAAACCATAAACTACATTAATTTTGCAATCTCTTAAAGCGAGCACAAATTGATAAATTTGTTGGATTTCACTTGCTCTTGATAATGCCACATGTTTCAATGTTTGCATTATAAAGATCTTATACTGTAAAATATAAGTAGTATTAATTATTAATCAAAAGGATATTTGAAACAAATGATAAATATGCAGCCCTTGATGATAGAACAATACCAGGATGGTGTAGCAAAATATCATAAACAATATTCCAAATAGCTGTAAAAGCTTTTGTGAAATCTAAAACATTGGGTCCCATATGATCTAGTTTCACACTTAGGCAGGAATGAAGACATGGAATAAGGCACTGTTTTGGAATACAAGACTAGGAAAGAAAAAAGAATATTATCTCACTGTCAGTTACAACGTACAACAAATTTGAAATAAATAAATAAGAAATTCAATTTGATTAACACTATTAAGAGTTTAAAAGAATTATTTAAGACAGCTGAAATGAAAAAATAAATAAATGTTACACTGAGTTTGTAGAAAGATTGCAAAATAAAAATTATAAATGGCAAGTAAGTGAATAAACTGAAATAAATTTGAAGTTAGATTAATGACTCTTTTTTTCAATGTTTTTCTGAGAACTTAGAATAGAATATAAAATATATTATTGAGAATATAAAAGAAAAGTTGAAACCATAAAAGAAAAAACATATTATATTATTGGATTTGTAAACTAAATGGAAAATAAAGATTATAAATGTCAGTTTAAATAAATTTCTAAAAACTGAATTAAATAGTTGTAATTTGAATCTCATTATTCATTCTTAACAGAATATAAAGGCTATGTCTTCTTTTTTTTATTTTTGTAAAGAAAAATGGATAATACAATATGAAGTAGTTAAAAGCTGTCAGTAACAATTCAAGATTCCATAAACAAAAAAGTAAAATAAATTTTTCAACAGCTATTAAAAGGAATATCTCTATATGGTTAAGATAGAGCATAAAAGCTTGGATTACTTTGTTGCATTATAGAGTAGTTTTAAAAAATAATAATTACCGGCATTATAAGCAATATACTTACAGATCGTTTCTTTACAAGGAAATGTAGAAATTCAAACACAGGGATTTTTACCATGTACAACAGATATGGAGACTGGCAGAGTTGATTCATTATGTAATGAAGATGAAATAACAACTAAAAAAATAAAAAATAATGTAGGCAATATTAAATCATAGACTTATGGGGAAAAAATGGAAATCCTCTGCAAACTATTGCAGAGTGTCATATTAAAGTTTTTAGGTATAGGTAATTACAAGATTTTAAACGCCAATAAAATTTAAAAAAATTATAATATGCTGATAAATATAAATCAAATTAAGATGCACTGTTTGTGGTGGTATATATATATTTACTTATATGTGTTTAAAGAAAAGGTTTTAAAAATATTACTAATAAATAACACTTCCCTCACTATACAGATGTCATTTGCACCCATCGAAGAAATACCATTAATTTAAGATAACAGCAATCAAATAAACATATTATTCTATAGTAGAGGAGGTACGTTGGTAAAACATAAATATGTTAGTAATAGTTAACACAACACAATAATAAATAATTGTCAGAACTTTCAATTTAAAATGATATACATTCTAATATATTCAATAAATAACAAATTAAACTCATATTTTTTTTCAATAATTAATTAGTAATTAGACAACTATATAAGGGCTCAAACTTAGATACAGTAATAAATAGTAGACACAATCCTTTGTTTGAACATTGTTGACCTTTTTTTTCTAATGAAGAAAGTTAAAATATTCTTATTCTCAGTGGGACAAATCATGGGTTAGAATCCCCTTGCCACTGTGCTAACCGAGGAAGGTTTTTCTGGTTTAGCTCTCCATGTAATGCAAATGTTGGTTAGTTCTATGAAAAAGTCTTTCTTGAAAGCTAGTTTCTTTCAATGATTTATTCAGTAGTTCCCTTGTCTTCTGGGTTGGTGGGTTCAAAATGACAAGGTTACAGAATTGAACAGTGATAGTCATTAACTTAGAATTATGTTGGCTGTTCAATGCCAGTTATAAAATGAAATAAAATCTTCTTGATACTCAAAATGGATATATATATATATATTGTTTCTAATAAATTGTACAATTAATTACTGATGGAAGAAGGTGGTCATTATAAGTGGTGGATC